ATTTTCACCTCAGCTCCCATCTTGTTGAAAGCCGTTCTTGAATACGTCAGTGCCTAGAGGTTCTCTTTTTTAAAAAAATCCTTTTGGTGCATATATTTGTCCCCTTATTTGGCACTGAATTTATATAGTCTTTCTCCTTTTTTGCAATTCCTTAAAATGTTAAAATTTGGATATGTTTTATCCCAAGGGTGGAGACTAAGCCATTTCAATGGGCAAATACTAATAAATTTTCATTATCTCTTTCTAAGGTAAAACAAGGGCACATGAACCACTATATTTATTGATGAGGTAGAAAAGTAAGAAGATCTTATGTAATTTGATGAAAATCAATCATCAGGTCAGTGGTGAGGTCAATACGGGCTCTGGAGTTTAGGTTACAGTTAAGTGTCATAGCTATTGGTACTATCCCTAAATTAAACAAACAAACAAAAGCTGCCTCAAAACATTAGGTAAAAGTTACTCCATTCACTTCTATGCTCACTTAGTGAAGAAATATAATTTTAAGCTCTTAGATTTATCTTAGTTAAAATTTCCATTCAAGATACTGGTTAGAAAGAGAATTGACATCAAATATTCTTGGAAAAAAATGGTTTTATATAAAATGTTATCTATTTGTTTACAACTTGATAAAGAAGAGAAATCGAATCTCATAATAAAAAAATCCTTATTTTATTTCAAAGTATCTAAATCAATATTTTCCTCCAGACAAAATAATTGTTTTTGGTCATGAGTTTAGTTTTCTGCCCACTTTTTGGAAATCTTTCCTTGGAATGACAGATGGCTAGCTCCACCCAGAAACCAGATGAGATTCCAGAAATCTCTGGAATTTGAGGGTTTTCTTTAATTAGGTATAAGAGACAGATATTAATGTTCACTAAATAGCTGGAAAGGAATACAAAACCAAAAAAAAAAAAAAACCAGGATTTTCAACAGCTAATTATTATATCATGTAGATAAAATGTCTCACAATGACTGATTTTGCTTTTCTCGAACTCCCCTAGAGATCATCTAGATCTGGCCCAGAGATGAATCTACATTATTAAAATGGAATAAAGTTAAATTCTCTCCAAAAAATGATGTTTCTTCTCTCAGGAAGAATCTTGGGGAAATCTATAGCACATTATTCAGATTTTTCAGGTTTGTATTTATCTCTTTAAAATTATAAAACGTAATAAACCATGGTCTGTTCAGAGCTTCCTTATAGTTCTAATAGTTCATGAAAAATCATTTATTTGTTTATTTTGAGAAAGGGTCTTGCTCCATTGCCCAGGTTGGAGTGCAGTGGCATGAATACAGTTCACTGCAGCCTTGACCTCCCAGGCTCAGGTGATTCTCCCACCTTAGCCTCCTGAGTAGCTGGGACCACAGGCACATGCCACCACAATTGGCTAGTTTTTTGTATTTTGTAGTAGAGACAGGGTTTCACCATGTTTCCCAGACTGGTCTCAAACTCCTGGGCTCAAGTGATCTGCCCACCTTGGCCTTCCAAAGTGCTAGAATTACAGTTGTGAGCTATTGCACCTGGCCAAAATAATTTATTTTTGTATTGTAGGATTTCTTTTTTTCTTCTTCTTGGCTGAAAAGTTTGATTAGAGAAAACAAAAAAATCTGAGTTCCTGTGTATCCTATGCCATTCATCTCTGCTATGAATTTGGGCAATTCTCAAATTCAGTTCAACAAACATTCATACATTAATTGTGCATTTATTATGTCCTGAGCATTCTGCTAGTTCAGAGCATGTAAGTCAAAGAGCATGTTCTCAGGTAGTTCAGTGTCCAGGCTGAAGGTGTGTACATACCAAATATTACACTAGTTACCTGTAAAAGGTATCATCACTGGCCTAACAAATAAAGGGAAACTAGACAAGGGAGAATTTTTTCTACTGGAGAGAGCAACGAAGGGTTCAGAAATAAGGTAATAATTGAGTTCAGCCAAGTCAATCCAAGAATACATGAGGCCCAATACATAGAGATATTATAAATTAAGGGAAATTTTAGAATTTAAAATGAGCAATTAGAGCTATTTAGAATGCTCTTGTCACCCTTTCTGATGGTGTCACTGCACTTTATACCTGTGTCTACTCTGGCAGGTTGCCGTTTACGAGATTTCATTCTAGGTATTTCACTTGGGACAGATCCTGGTATCCGTTCTAGCAAGATCACAGCCATATCACCTTTGAAATTCTCACCACCAAGGTGAGCACTCGGCATACCGTAGACAACGTTTCTTAAGTAATGAATGGACTGAAGAGCTTAATAGCGCTTTGTAAAGTAAATAAAACTTTCTAATCTATCTCTTTTCACAAGTTGAATCTTTTGAATTTTGAGTCCCCAGAGGGTGAGTGTCTGCTGTGGACTCCATTTCCAGTGGCTTCCCCTTAGTCTCATCTTTAGCTGGGTCAACTAAGTGGAGGATGAGCCCAGTGCAGCCCCTAGTGATCATGGTTGCCTTGTCACTATTCCCACCTCCATACCAAAATCCTCACTGATCCTGAGAAAGTTCACACATATTCGTACATTCCATCTCAAGGTGTCTTGAAGCTTGAAGGAACTTCCCAGGGAAGGTACCCAGGGAAGGAACTTGAACCTTGAAGTGCCTTCCCTGGGTGGACTTGCCCCATTGTCATCAGTGAGCAGAGCCAAGACAGCGCAATCCTCAGGTTTTAGATTACACACAACCCCACTCCAAGATGCACAAAGATGCTAGTGTGGGTACATAACACACAACAGCAAAGATGACAGAGAAGACCACAGAAATTAGCTGGGGTGTGAAACTTAATGGGAAAATACATCTGAAATGGGCAAACAGTGAAATCAAGATAGTCAAAACATTCATCATTGCACTGTACAAAATCACCTTCTATGACTTCATAAGACAGAAACTGGAATTTGCTTATAGTTTTTTACTTCAGTACTTTTATTACTTATGCCTAGGCTTAATTTTTGCTTCCCATGTAATTAGTATTTTAACCTTAAATATCTGACTCTAAATTTATCTTCTTGTTTATTAACTTTACTATGAGATTTTATCATCCAGTAATATAAGCATCATTTTATAGTGGAAGATAATGGGGGAATGGTATTTAAGCTTCCAGAAACTGTATTTTGTAGTTACAGATACTATAGAAAGTGCATGTTTTCCATTTAAGGCAAACAGTGGTGGTGATAGCCACAATATAAATTACAATTCATGTATAATATTTAAGTATTAATTTTAAATTAGTGCAACTAATGTAATTCATGTATAATATTTAAGTATTAATTTGATATTAGCTCAACTATCCTCAGTGAAGAAATATAATTTAAAACCCCTAGATTTATCTTAGTAGTTAAAATTTCTATTCAAGATACTGGTTAGAAAGAGAAATAATTGACATCAAATATTCTTGGAACAAAATGATACAATAATTCATGTATAATATTTAAGTATTAATTTCAAATTAGCTCAAAGAGAAGATTTAGAATCATCCTAGCACAAAGAAATGATAAATGTATGAGGTGATGATATATCAGTTACCCTGACTTAATCATCACATATCATATGCATATCTCAAAGTATCACATGTATCCCATACATATGTAAAACTATTGTGTATCAGTAAAAAATTTTAAGAAAATCCATTGGTTAAGACAAATAAAAAGTCTACTTCATTCTAGCACAATCTTACCCCTAGCAACTTCATGAGTATTCTATAGAACAGAATTGGCCTCACTAGGCAGCTTGTCAGAAACACAAATTCTCAGGCCCACCTTACACCGGTGAATCAGAATCTGCATTTCAACAAATTCCCCAGGTGATTTGTGCCCATACTGAAGTTTTAGAAGCATTAGTCAACCAATCCCAGGGCTTCATGAAAGTTCCATGAAGAGAAATTATTCCATGAACTTTTTAGTTGAGTTTCCTTTCAAAGATCCCACATACTAATTATTTTCTATATTTTGCCTAAATGGACAATAAGAAACAATCCTGGAATTCAGTAACCTCCCTACTTTTCACCTTATAGTCAATGTAATGGTGCCATGTGTTACGAACTGTCTCCACTATCTCCTCCAGGCATGTGAGAAGGGAAGAAAGAAGGAGCTACTGACTTGAATTAAGGAGTTATATGTGAGAGTGACAAGTGCTTTGCATTGCATGATGGAGATTTCAATTCTGTTGTCACCATGATGTGAAGAAATACTTGCTTTTGAAGTATTTTATTCCCTAAGAGATGTCTTAGGCTCCAAGCAACAGTCATTTTTATTTTTATTTTTGAGATGGACTCTGGCTCTGTTACCTAGGCTGGAGTGTGGTGGTGCAATCTTGGTTCACTGCAAACTCCGCCTCCCAGGTTCAAGTGGCTCTTCTGCCTCAGCCTCCCAAGTAGTTGTGATTAGAGGCACTTGCCACCACACCCAGCTAATTTTTGTATTTTTAATAGAGACAGGGTTTCTATGTTGGACAGGCTGATCTTGAACTCCTGACCTCAGGTGACCCACCTCAGCCTCCCAAAGTGCTGGGATTACAGGCATGAGCCACCATGCCTGGCCCAACAGTCATTTTTATAAAGGAAATCCCCATCCCTCTACCCACAAAATTTTGTGTTTTGCACTCCAAGTGAGTTAGAGGAATTAGGCATATCTTTGCTTGAGTTTATTCACTGTTGATCTTCCAAATTTGTTACCTTGAGAAGCTAAGGAGAGGCTGAGTCTTAGGCACCTGAAATGTGGTTGCTGGTCAGCCCCCACCAACTCACTGACAACCAGAGGAAAAGGAACCATAGCCTCCTTTTCTAAACTTGAGTTTCATAAAGACAAGAAACCCATTCATTGCTTCAAAAGCAAGTATTTCCTCACCGTGATCCTGTTTGTACTGAAGAGAGCCTACTTAATGGATGTTGATGGTAACGCCGACGCTGACAGCAATGACAGGAGTGCCTGTTAGGGCAGTGACAGGATGAAGATGTGTGGAAAAGAACTCAGCTATTTCAACTCTTTAGGTGGCAAAGGAAGAGGACATACCCAAGCTACATCCCAGACATCCTTCTTCACAAGGGACACATTCTTCATAGTCTGGGTCTTGGACTTCACCTACACAGAGAGAGAAATGAAAAACACAACTCATTTCCATTGAGTGGAGACACGTTACTTGCTATAAAAATATGTTGGTGTGCCGCTTATTTTAAAGTAAATCATAGAGCAATTACAAAGCCCAAAACCATCCTCGAGGATATATGTAGTTTCTACTTTTTAATCTCCTTCTATTAATTGAATAGACTGTATCAGCTTGATTGGGTACAAAGAGAACCAGGGTGGACCATATGCTAGGCAGCTAGTTTTGAAGTCAAGCTGATAGATTTTATTTATTAAAGAAATCTGTTCTGCTTCTGGGAAAATGGAATTGGGTATGTAAATGAACAGGTTCTCTTTCTCTTTTTATCTGTCCTACTAAACACTTAAAAAAAAGTTTAAAACCTTTTACTACATTCATAAACATTAAGGAGAAACAGAATTGAGTGTCTTAATTATTCTAAAAATGTCTTAGAGCTCTCTTCAGCAACAGACCAGGCATAATTCTTATACAGAGCAGAGCAATAACAGTCTGTGGCATTCTTACATAGAACAGAGCTGAAACTATAAGTGTTGTATTTTAATTTCCTTCTTCCCATAAAAGATAAGAAATTGGGCAATAACAATAACATAGGATTCGCAGTCCAAATATTTTCAAGTGGTTTTAGGCCAGTTCTCACTGGCTTCTCAAAGCCGCCTGTCGCTCTGCTCTTTTTTGGACGGATGAAGACACCAAGGCATGGGCAAATTAGATGAGTTTTTCCCAGGGTTTCATGTCTCGTAAATGGGATGGAGAAAACTTGACCCAGACTTTTGGATTCTAATCATATTTTCTCTTCCTTATATCCTGTCCACAATCTCTCCACCTCCAAGTTTCTTTTCTTTTTCTTTCTTTCTTTTTTTTTTTTTTTTTTTGAGATGGAGTCTTGTTCTCTCATCCTCTCACCCAGGCTGGAGTGCAGTGGCGCAATCTTGGATCACTGCAACCTCCCCCTCCTAGGTTCAAGCCATTCTCCTGACTCAGCCTCCTGTGTAGCTGGGATTACAGGCATGCAACACCACACCCAGATCATTTTTTATGTTTAGTAGAGACAGGGTTTCACCATATTGCCCAGGCTGATCTTGAATTCCTGACCTCAAGCGATCCAACTGTCTTGGTCTCTCAAAAGTGCTGGGATTAGAGGCATGAACCACTGCACCTGGCCAATTTTCTACACACTTAAGTGCTTTCCTACTACCTTGGATTGTGCCTGGGGAAACCCAGAGAAAGGTTATATGAACAGAGAGAGAAAGGGGAAGCTACCTCTCTCCCCACTTGGGTATAGAGTCACCCAAAATCATCCCAAGTGCCAGCATGCAAGCCAGGAAAGCAATTCAAGTCTCTAGGACATCCAAGACACAGTCCTGCCTCCCATGTTCTGGTCCTGGGCAGGGGGCGCCAGAACAGGCTTACCTCGTCCACACTCCAACTTCTGGCATGTGTGGTTGGTGGGTGCTATGAAGTAACCCCTCGTGCATCTTGTGCAGACATGTGCGCTGTGGCAAAGCTCACACTTGTCTGGGCAGGGCAGGCAGGTGTTCCCCCCAGTGGGGTAGTGGCCATCTGGGCAGCTATTTCGACACTCTCCCTGGTACAGGAAGTGCTCTCGGCCATAGTTGTCTGATCAGTTACAGGGACGAGGAAAAGAGGAAAAATGTACAAAGTTAGCCATGAAGTTATTATAATGTAAGATATTATATTTTAAAATGATGTGACTCAGTGCTTTTGTTCCTAGGGGATGAGGGGTATAAGATGGATTTAATGAAAAGTGCAATAGCTACATCCTTGTAGTTGAAAAGTTTTCCTTGCAGGGAATCATTTTCCAATATTTTATATATTTCTGTGAACAGCAACTACTATCTAGCATGTCATATGAAAACCATGCTCTGTGAATAACTACAATTCAAAATGTGTTTAACCTTCCCAAGGGCTCCTTTTGGTATCTGTGAAAGCTCTTAGACTTGGGGGAAATAGAGATCCCATGAGAATAAACACATGCATAATGATTGACACGTTTTATGAAAATGCAATCTTTTAAAATGATTTTGAATTGTTTTCAGTCACATACTTGAGTTAACTATCTAAGGTTTGAATTTCTGCAGAGCTGCCAATGTCCACAATGACAGCTTTATTGAAGCACTAGACCAAGCACACCTTTTTTTTAACTCCTCTACATGCATTCCTGAGGGTTCCTGACTTCTGTCAACATTGGATTCTATAAGGAAAGAATCCACAGTGCCCACAGCCTAACAGACCATGGGAATTTGTTCCTGGAGGGAATGAAAAAGTCTAACCAGCTATAAAGCATCACAATTAGTTACAAAGGATTCTAATCAGTTACAAATGCAAAAACAACAATAAGATTAATAGTGATGCATCCAGAGGTCTCCTATTCCCATCCTCCTGGAGCTTTTGTGCTGAGTGGGCTCAGGGTATCCATCTTTTCTGAATCAGATTTCCCATATGTCCCTGCCCTGAAGAGCAGCCGATCTGTGTTACTCAGAATAACCGGGGTCTCGGGTTCATTCTTCATGTGATCTACCACATGGGAATCCAAAACCATTGACCTTCAAGATGCAAGGCTGCTGAATTTATGGATAAAGATAGCACTAATCCCATGTTCCAAGTGCAGAAACTAAAAGTCAGTATAATGTTAAGTTGACTCACATGAAATTGCCGATATTTGACTATTTTTTACCTGTAAGCATGGCAACTTTCAGGTCATTTATCATAACATTTCATATTTATTCAAAGCCATGGTTGAAATACAGTTCTTTTTTTTTTGAGACAGGGTCTCACTCTGTTGCTCAGGCTGGAGTGTGGTGGCATGATCTCAGCTCACTGCAACCTCTTCCTCTGGGGCTCAAGCAATCCTCCCACCTTAGTCTTTCAAGTATCTAGGACTACAGGTGTGTGTCACCATGCCCAACTATTTTTGGGGTTTTTTTTGGTATATTTTGTAGAGAGAGGGTTTCACCATGTTGTCCAGGCTGGTCTTGAACTCCTGAACTCGAGTGATCTGCCTAACTTGGCCTCCCAAAGTGCTGGGATTACAGGTGTGAGCCACCGTGCCTGGGCTGAAATGCAATTATTAAAACACGCTTTTGGATTATGGACTCTTAAGCTATCTTTTTTGCTGATTATAATTTCACACCAGAAATCATACTGGTTCCTGTAGGACCAAGATAATAAAAAGGGCTTCCACAGAGGTGGTGAGAGAAAGTATTCTGCTGTTTCCAAGTTAGACATAGAAGACACTATCCTCTAAAGAAAAAAGAGGGTTTTTCCCTATAAATCGTGCGTTTGATGATTTTATAGCTATCAGTCAACATCGTGGAGCACAAAACTGATCTGGTGGAACCTGGAATCTCTGGAGATCACAAGGTCAACCTTCCAAGTTATGTTCTCAGCCACCTTATGAAAACTTAGCAAATGCCATTTCCATCCACCATGACACATTCAGAACAAAATCTTTTTTTCAGAGTTCCCCAATTTCTCCCATGTAGGTAGGAAGATGTGAGAAAGAACAGTGAGGAAGTCTACCTCTTCTCCATCTCCTATGCCTTCACGTGACATCAACTCAGGATCCAGATGCTTAGGGGAAGTATGAGGTTCTAAATATGTATTTGTAAAATGATTAAATGAGTGAAATCATATTTGGCAATATTACATTTTCCCCTATACACAACTGGATAATCAATCTTAAAAATTAGCAATGATGAGCCTAGATTTAGAAGAAAATGTTATTCAATCTCATTTTTATTGTTTGGACATGGCTTTATTGAGGGGCCTCTTTGGGTGTTATAATTTGTTTAAAGAACGAGAATATGAAGGGGTCTCAGTGTTTAAAATACATAGACCTGCAAAGGGAGGTCACTTAGATGCCTTGGCCATGATTAGCTTTTCCCACAGGTTTGGTCCAAGACTATGTCAAGATTTGGTCAAATTTCGAGTAGCCCTGCTCAGTTAGTTATGGATGATAATTTGAACAGCTCAGAAATTTAAATACCATGCATAAATTTTTGGCTACTTGCCCAGGGTCTTCACCTTTAAATTATTATAATAGTATGTAGATGAAGATATTTCCAGTGGTAGAAGGGCTTATACTTTTGTTAGGTACCAAAAACCTTCCTGGGAAAATAGGAGACAAGAGTTCAAATGGGATAATAGGGGATAAGAGTTTGGATTGGCTTTTGTTTATTCTGGACAGTAATTCCCCTTCATGAGAGCATTTCTTGGCAGCTGATTCTGTTAGGTGAGTAGGTAGACCAGCATGAAGATATTGGATGTCCATAGAAGAAAAGAAAAGGTGAGGGTTGAAGGCATGAGGCCAAAGGACTGCTGGAAAGGATAAAAGAAAAGTGGACAGACTCTGAAAATAGATTTGATGAAGTTGACTACCACATTTCGCTTACTGTCGCTGTTGTGTGACTGATGGAACTTAGCTTTGGGTCCAGTTTGGAACTGAATAAACCTGGAATAGAATTGGAGTGAATCCTCAGCAATATAGCTGGAGATGTACACTTCCAATAGGCATCACACATAAACCTTAATAAAGTCGCAATTAAACAAGGGATGGAATCTCTACAAACTGGTGAAAGGGACTTATGAAGGTTGTTGGGACCCTCCAGCTGGAGGATTTCTAGCCTTTTATTAAAGCTTCCATTTATAGATATGGAACTTCTTCAACTGAAACATCCATCTTCTCTACTCACTACAGCTGGAAGTGATGCTGCTTCTCTGATCTGGGGTAGGATTTCTACCATGCATTTCATCTTCATCTATTATTTTCTTGTTGTGTAACATATGAGGACAAACCTCCTTGTTAGACTGTAACTCCTTGAAGGCGAGTATCATGCTATCATCTATTTCATTTTCCGTGACATTCAATGCATAGTAACTTGTACATAGAAGGGATGCAATAAATGTTTAAGATTATGGATTAAACACAATTTCAAATAGAAAGTACAGTAGAAATGTCAGAGCATTTATAGGTAGATTGGTCCAAGTAGCTGTAGGATGCTTAGAAGACTAGACATTTGTTTGGTATCTAAACTTCTTTCTAATTTTGTGCTGTGTATAGAGATGTGAAACAGATTTTAGATGTCATCTTGTCCTTTTTCTCTCTATTTTTTTTAACACATAAGAAGAGGCATAAAGAGGTGAAATGACTGGTTGAGTACCTTCTCATCAGTCAGTAACAAAGCTGGGACTTGAACCCACATTTTCTGACTGCTTGTCTTAACATTCCTTCCTCTGAACCATTCATTCATTCATTCATTCAGTTATTTATTGTGCACCTTCCATATACCAGACACTGTGCTGGTGCTCAAAATACAGCATAAACAAGGTAGAAACCATGCCATGCTCTTATGGGGCATAGACACTTATGGACCAAATGGACACCAAATGTGTTGAGGCTCATGAAGAGGGAAGTGCAGTGCTCCCAGGGTGCTCATGTGAAGGCCTACTCTAGGCAAGGAGGTTAGGGCAGCCCTCACTGAGGAAATGATGTTGAAACTAAGATGGAATAGGAAGACATCAGCCAGACAACAAGTGAAAACATTGCAAATAAAGTCTTAGGAGCAAGAGAAACTCAAATGCCCAAAAAAGTAAGCAGCTATACAGTAATGATAATAAAAATAAGAATAGTTAATATTCCCTGAGTGCTCACCATGTGGCTAGCCCTGTTCTAAATGCTTTATTGTTTTATTTCATTTCATGTCATTTAATTTTCATAAAAACTCTTAAGGAAGTAAGCATTATCATCAACTTAAGGATGAGGAAGGAAACAGAATAAGACAGTCTAGAGGTAAAACAAGACAGATATTTGTCACATTTTGACAAAACCCAAAACAATAATTTTTAATTTATACAACGAAATGTGTTATCTTCTGATCTCCTGCAAATGCATGGTACTCTTAATGTATTCTTCATTTTTCTTGGTTTATTGCAAGGAATAATAAAGGTTGATAATTCTCTTCTACCAGAAAAATGATGAAATGATGATGCTGGTAACTGACAGCCTCAGGATTAGTGAGACATCTGGAAATGGTGGGGACTAGGAACAGATGGAGAGCAGTGTCTTTTGGACCCCAGGCAATGATTTGGGAAATGCAGGTCCAGTGCTGCCAGATCTTTTGAATTTTCAAGATACATTAAAAACTCACGTTTTTATTTGCAATGTCCCAACTTTTAAATTTGGCTCAAATTTAAAAAGTAGTATATAGAAAAAAATAGAATCTGAATCTGGCCCACATGAGGTCAGTAGGAGACAGGCATATCAGTTGAGGCTGGAGAGGAGTCAAGGGTCAAAATGCAGAGAACCCTTGAGACCATGAAACAGAATCCAATGGCAGCAGGAAACTTTTAGTACAGGTAAATCTGGGACACAAAAGGTCACGTTTGTAATCATTTGAAATGATAACCTTGTTGCTGCTGAGCACTGGCAACTTCTAAGTGGCATAGCTCAGCTCCAAGAAGACCCAGACACAGCATCTAATACAATACTTCCCTTAAAAATAGAACGTGTCTTTCTTAATTCTCTAGCTTTTCACTTTTACCTCCACAAATCTTAGCTTCACTGTCTATCTCATGTCTGACTCATGCTTCTATGTCCTTCTCTTTCCTTCTCTCGAAAGGCATCTCTCAGTTGCTTTCTCATATTTTCAAGGGCACTGAGTCTACACCCAAATTAGGTGAACAAGCTTATTGTGTCCTGACAACAAGCAGAAATGTCAAGGTTGTACAGGCTCTCCAGTGAACAGCTGCCTGATTTTAATCCTCAAACCCAGACACAAGACTTTCGAGTCAAACCAAATGATGGCCATTAGGAGAGGTGCAGGTTTGGGGTCAGGAAGATGAAGGAGTCGCAACCCTCTCACCTGCTCCACAGGAGGTACAGTGGGTAGGCCCACTTCCTTGGCATCTCTTGCAGGTGTAGTGGCATGGATGGCATCGGTTCTCAAATTCAAATTTCCATGAGGGACAGTTCGATACACAATGGCCATCATCTAAAATTCTAGAGGAAAAGCAGACTTTTAGAATTCATCAGGGCGACTTTCCAGAGTGGCCCTGAGTATCAGAACATGTGTATTCAAGTTTGCTGTACAGATTTCATTTCATTGTTCCAGAAACAATGGGGATTCCTGGGACGGATCATCTTAGAACATGTGAAATATTAGTCATGTAGGCATCCTTGGCCCAAGATTTGGACCTAACAACCAGCATGCCAGAAACGGGCCGTGAAACAATCCTGAATCTGGTTTCAAACAAGCTAACTGGTGCCCACAGGGATTTAATCCATATTGTAGGCCCCAGGCAAACCCAGCCAACAGTCAGAGGGAGGGCTCTAAACTTTCCATACACTCAGTGGGCCTCTGAGACAGGCCTTGGAGGAAATCTTCTTCCTTTATCTATCAGCATTCTTATGCTTTGCAAAGGAAATGTCAGCTCCAATGGCTCTTGACCAGAGAATAAAACACTGCTTCGCAGCTTAGGTGCTACTTAGAAGCCTGGCCTGTGTATATTGCAAGTAATCAATGAACTCTGATTTTGAGTGTTGTGTTTTGCTAGCATTTTCTGATATATGGAGTACTGCAGTCTCTATTTTCTGACCATGCCTGTAAATTACAAAGGGAATTACAGATGAGTTAGTATATGGGCTTCTAAAACTTTGGTTTTACATATATATAAAATATAACCTAATGTCATTGTTAATATTTTTATAGCTTTGCTTCATTATTCTTTGCAAAGTAATCATAACAGCAAACGTTATTAAGTAAATCATATCCAAGAATTCTGTTCAGAAAAATACAAAATGTTTATCAAGTGTAAGCGTCAGATAGATAATGTAGATAATGTGAATAGATGAAGTGAGCTGGGGGCTGCACACCCAGAGTTTCTAATTTAGCGGGTCTTGAGGGAAGGCAGCTGAGAATTTTCATTTCTGGCAAATTGGAATGTCAAATTTGCATTTCTGATTTCTGACATTCCAGATGATGTCAGTGCTGCTGGTCTGGTGAGCACTCTTTGGGATCACTGCTCAGTAACAGTCTGAATTACTGTGGAATCTGCTAAATGATTCCTGTGTAATACAGGTGAAACCAAATTGGCATCTCTTACAGCTCCCTTAGAATAGCAGTAATTGTACCAATTGTGAGGTTCACTGAACACATAGCATACTCATGCTTCCATGGGCATGATGCTGCCATCCAGGTCTGGGAGATCTGAGGCCTGTGAAGAAAGGGAAGATGTCTTTTTCTCTCTACCAGTCCTCTCCACTTATGCTGGACACCGCACAAAAGGTCAGGTGTAAGCCTCAAGTAACTTGTTCCTGTGTTGGCATTGGCTTGTTTAAACCTCACTGTTTCTAGAGCTAGAACCAACCCTTAACTGTGGAGTGGGCCCTTTCAATCCCAGGTTTAGAGGAAAGTTGGGTGGTGGCAAGGCATCCCGAATAGCACGTCACTTACAGTCTTCCATCTCATTCATTCCGACACCCTGAAATTTGTCTCATTTGCATCTGTTTGGAGGCAGAATGGGATTCAAGTCAACAACCTAAGACAGAAGTCCACCTCACTCTTGGATTTCCAGGCCCTCATGTTCTGTTAACCATCCCCAGCACCACTGAATGAAGAATCCTTTTGGCGTGAGTCCCAGTCCTAAACAGACACTCACACACATCTGGCTGTCCATGTCAAAACAGATCCCCTGCACCATGGCATAGAATGAGATGCATGTGCTCCCAGCCCAGATTTTTAGTGGATGGCATTAATGCCAAGGGGGAATATCCCAGCCCCACCCTGGCACTAGTTACTGAGCTAGAAGACTTTTCGAGGAACATTTTGGATGTGGCTAGTTTAAAATGAACAAACAAACAAAAAAACCCCAAATCTTTCTATAAGAAAAACTGTGGAAGAGCTTTCTGAGAATTATAAGAAAGGAAGCTACTTGATGTTCTGCTGAAAAGAATGGGGCAAATTTATTCTAGGGGTTTATTTTCTTCCTAAAATCAATTGAGAAATGGATGTACAGTACATCATCATGTTATCTTTTATAGCCTTTTTGGCACCAGGGATTGTGATTGGTTTGGCTGTGTCCCCACCCAAAATCTCATCTTGAATTGTAGTTCTCATAATCTTGAGTCGTGGGAGGGACCCAGGGGGAGGTAACCGAATCATGGGGCGTGTATCTCCATACTGTTCTCATGATAGTGAGTGAGTTCTCATGAGATCTAATGGTTTTATAGGGGATTTTCCTCCTTTGTTCAGCACTTCTCCTTCCCGCCACCCTGTGAAGGAACCTTTCTTCCCCTTTGCCTTCTGCCATGATTGTAAGATTCTTGAGACCGTCCCAGCCATGCAGAACTGTGAGTCCATTAAACCTCTTTTTTTAAATAAATTACTAAGTCTCAGGTATTTCTTCATAGCAGTGTGAGAACAGACTAATACAGATCAGTTTCATGGAAGTCAATTTTTCCACAAATTGGGGGCAGAGGATGGTTTTGGGATGATTCAAGTGCATTACATTTATTGTGTACTTTATTTCTATTATTATTACATTGTAATATATAATGTAGTAATTATGCAATTCACCATAATGTAGAATCAGTGGGAGCCCTGAGCTTGTTTTTCTGCAACTAGATGGTCCCATCTGGGAGTGATGGGAGACAGTGACCGATCATCAGGCATTAGATTCTCATAAGGAGCACAAAACCTAGATCCCTCATGTGTGCAGTTCACAATATGGTTCACACTCCTATGGAATCTAATTCTGCTGCTGATGTGACAGAAGGTGGAGTTCAGGCAATAATATGAACAATGGGGAGTGGCTGTAAAAACAGACAAAGTTTTACTTGCTCACGTGCTGCTCAGCTCCTGCTGTGCAGCCCAGCTCCTAATAAGCCATGAACAAGTTCATGAACTGGTTCATGGTCTGGGGGTTTGGGACCCCCATTTTATAAGACTAGATAACAGATTGGTTGGGAGGAATAATTTGTTTTCCCATTAATGGGAACCACTAAAAACCACTCAGAAATTGGAGAGGAAGCAGACATGAAACACTTCCATGTTGACATAGAGAAGGGGCTGTCTTGCTGACTCAATTTTAGGAACGTATCAAGTACATAATCATGCTTTAAACCATTCCCTCCATGTCCACCCTAACAAAAGCATAGATCTCCAACTTCTGTAATGGGATGATTATTTCTAAAGACAGAAAGATAGAGAAGACGATTATGCTTAAGTGAAGGCACCAAATGATACCACCATGCCCCCCCCCACCTGACATTCTCCAACCTCCCACAAAAATATTGCTAAGAAACTTGAAGAAAAATCCCATTTCAAATGGCTACAGTTTTCAACAGATGCCTACAATTTTTCCTAGTGGAAGAGAATAGATATTTTGCTCTATAAAAGTAGAAAATGGGGCTGATGAAAATTTTCCTTAAAACTAATTCAAGGCATCTCTGGGATTACCAGTCATCCAATTCATGGATTCCTGAGATGCCCAGGCAAGCTCATCTCTGTAGGAGAAGAGCTTCTCTCCCCAACTCATGCCGGCTCTTGACCTTTTCATAGGCAGTGAACCATTCCAGACCCAACAGGGCTGAAAGAAACAGAGAAGGCAGTGAAACCAAGTGCTAAAGAGCTGGGCAGAGAGGATGTTAACATTGGCACTGAGTATTCCACAAGGCCCCACAGGGTTTGTGTGTGTGTGTGTGTGTGTGTGTGTGTGTGAGAGATGTGAACTGTAACAGAAGAGATGACATGTCAGGGTTAGCTGGTCCTCTTTGCTGATTGTTGACTTGGCATAATTAAGCCATTACAGGGCACTTGGTGTAATTTCTTGGTGCTTTAATCTTCTAAAAGAATGAAATCTAGGGAAAAGTTTTTTTTCCTTTCTGAATTAATTGAAATAGATCAAATAAAATGTTTGAGCATGGGTCAGAACAGAGGTAACTTTGAAATGTTTTTAATTGGTTCACTGACTCTGTTACTCCTTTAGGACTGGGCAGGAAAATTAGGTCGGGCAATGAGTACCCCAGCATCACAGAGCTTTGCATGTTAAATACAGCAGCAAAGAGGTCACTTGCTTCCTCCAGGTTTTTAATTGTCTTTAAGGAGCTAAACCTAATAGTTTATAAAATTATAAAGGAAGGGTGGTAGCTGCTTTATTAAACAAATGCTAAAATATTCCCCTAGTTCAAAAGATGTCCAAACATGCATTGGAATTTGATTATTGGTATGGTGGAGAGTTGGAGGAAAAACAGAACCTCATTTTGCGACTGCTATCCCTATCTTAGAGTATGTCCTGATGCCTCTTTAAAGCAAATTCCATGTTTAGAGGCATAGTTATTTTAAAGAGACACTTGGAAAATATGCTCATGGTTAGCATTGAAAATTCTTAAAACTGTTCCTTTGTTTCTCTTCTTTGGTCCTTTCTTTTTCCTTCTCTTATTTATTCTTTTCTTTCTTCCTTCCTTTTTCTGCGGGAGCTATTTAGAGAGCCAAACCTATGATATTGATTACATACTTTATCAAGTTCAATAAAACACATTTATTGAATTATTATGTGTTGATCACTGTGGGGAATACAGGAACAAATACACCACACCACCCACTTGCGAGACTATTATAGTCCTACAGAAGAAGTAGGACAAAATGACCATTATGCAAAGCAGAGGAAATGCCCATCATAGAGATGCAAAGTGCCTGCCACTAGAGCAGCCTCATCATCCTTGCCTGCAAGAGACCTGCTTCCTTTGCGCTGGGCAGGGCAATGATGAGGCCATTGATTGAAACACTCAGCAGCCAACAAATATTCAGTGCTGGCTTCAGAGGAGCATTGACTGAAAATACAACAGGCCTCCAGCTTTCTTCATTAGAAATTCCCAGTGTATTAGCAAAGATGCTCATTCCATTCGCATACTTGCTGTTTCCTCAGTAACTCCGTTAGCAAACATCACTGAGTGCCTATTATTTTCCCAGAACTGTGGTAGGTACTACAGATCAAACATGAGTAACTCAAGTAGCTTGCAGTCTAATGAAGAGATAGCTTTGTAAATGAAAACCTTCAAAGGATACAGGTACTTTTATGGAAGCTTATAGAGATCAAAAGGGCACAAATTTTTTTTTTTACTGGGACGAGAGTAATTTTACTGGGGAGAGGTCAGAAATGCCTTTAAGAACAGTTCACCCTTGAACTGACTCTAGAAATAAGTAGATATTTGACCAGCAGTTGGAAATGATGGTTGAGGGAAAGGTGTGCAGAAAAGGATGAAATTTCAGGCATCAAAAGTGGCATCAAAGGCACCCTATTCTTTGATGAGGAAACCTGTACCATGTCCAGGGAACTGGTCCTTGTGGGAACTGGGCCTCACGGGGAGAGAATACTACAGAGGTGAGCTGTGCCCAGACCAAGGAGAATATCTGTGGAGTGGGAAGGAGTTTGGTTCTCTTTTTTCTCCAGGCTTATGGGGTGCCACTAAGGTAATGAGTTCTTCCTCTCTCCACCCTGCAATCCATGAGCTCCCACCACCAGGAGATCCTGAGAGGCCACTTACCTTGTCATGGGACAGGCAGTGCAGTCTTCCTGGGTTGGTCCCTGGCACTTGGCACATGAGGCCTCACAGGTCTGGCAGTGACCATACTCATCAACGTACTCTCCTAGGGAATGAAATCTAATTGTTTACTTCATTTATACATGGAAAGGCTGCCTGGACTGTCAGTCTGAGAGCAGCCGGATCTGTGGCTGCCTGAAAGTGATACAGACAACACAGAGAGGAGAGGCCCTAAATGGCTTCAGCTGTCAGTCCCCAGATCCTGACCTTATCATAACAACTGCTCCTCTCTCAGCGTCCCCAGAAGTTGGAATCTCAAAAGTTATGAAGCAATGACATATTTCTGAATCTAGTCAACATGTGTTACCAATTTTTTAAGCAGGGAAGGCCAAGTGGGTGCTTCCCACCGGACCCCTTTACTGAACTCCTACTAACTTTTCCCTTAAAAGCTGAGGTCTCCTGGTCCACAGAGGCCCCATTTATAGTCTTGGGTCAAGTCAAGCAATGAGCAGGACCCACCCAGATCTTGTCTTACCACCCCATGGGGTAGAGGTGCCAGAATCGTGGTAACTGGTGAAGAATGGGTGCTGAGTCTTGGCTGACATTGGGCAATTGGGAGCTACATCTCACTCTGAAAGAGTAATAGTAAACAAGTAGCCAGGAAATTCTTCCTTTAATTGAAAACTTCATCTTTCCCCCCCAAAAAAAACACATGTGGGGCCCTGCCATAGAAGCAAATCCAGCCTCACAAATTTCTTGGAAATATTTAAGAAATTATTCCCACAGCAAAGGTGGCAGAAGGAGGCCAATATCATGAAAGGTGAATCTTGTGGATTCAAAGATGGGACTCTACTCACTGAATCCAACCCTCCTGCCCACATTGCACTCACCCTAACCTGCCATTGTCTTAAAAAAATTGACAGACTTATTTGGTCAGATTCACAGAGCTATTTTTCCTGGTTTAGAAACTGGTCATGCTCAGAACTGGTTTCAGATTTTGGCAGAGACACAACCACCACCGGACCTCACCCCCTCTAACTCTGACAGCCCCTGTAAGTATGTCTAAACACTGTCAGTCTGAGTTCCAGCTGGTGGGGTGAGGTAGCAGGACCTGCCCGGGGTTTAATCAAGTTGTCTTAGCGAAACTCCAGTCTTGACTGCCTGATTTAGCATAGTTGCATTGAAAAGAGCCCTGGAAACCTAGACTTGACTGGTGAGGAAACGAGGGAAATGTATCCCCCTGTCTTTCCCCCATCGCTTTACTGGACTGGTACAGATAGCATGTAAGTAAACCTTATATATATAAATTTTACACTTGCTAGCACTAAACCCCAAAGATGAATGTGAAGAGACAACTAGAGTTTGCCTTTATGTAGCAGACAAAGCCTTTCATGTAGAGTTATTCTATTAGTTTTGTTAACTGAAGGAAAAATAGCGTGTTCAGAGTGATGCAAACATCTAATCGCAGCACATCCTGCACACCCTGGACTCTGTTCCTCTCTGTCTTCCCATTTTTACCAAGGTACAGTTTGGACTGGGAAACTTATATGCAATGTTTAGAATGGGATTGTGATTCTTACCTTGGGACAGAGTAGAAAACCTCCCAGGAGACCTAGGCCCAAGAAAGTGCAGAACCAGCAGGGGCAAAGAATACAGGCATGCAGGTTGTTAGCACAAGGTGCCTATCCACCCGAATGGTCCAGGGGAGGCTGACATCCAGCCTGTCTGCCTCACCCTGCCAGGCACCCTGGTGTTGGTTGCCCGTGCCTCTGTAGAGCGACACCTTTTATTAACTCACACAAAGGCATCGACTGGACTGGTGACATTCTTGGTAACCAATAGTCCCAAGGCAGAAAAAAGCTGGGACTTCCATCTAGCAGGAGTGGTGATTTCAAGCTGAGACTGTGTCACTTACTACACGCATCATCATAGTTATGTAGCCTTCTTTTTATTTATTCAGGCTTCCCCCACTTCACCTCTTATTTATGGCTTCCACTGATTTAAGAGGCACAATCAATTGAGCAGGGTGATTATCAGTCCAGGTACTAGCAAAATCGAGAGCAGAGGACCCAGGGCAGACTCGGTAGGAAGGAGTAGACCTTGCCTACAGAGGCCAGTGCAAACAACTTGTGTTTACAGTTAGATGATATCTATGTATCTTTCAAAACATATATGCTGAGTGGAACATGAATGGAGGAGGCTCATAGAAGCTTAAAACCCCACAAAAATTGTATTCTAGAAAAATGTGGACTGTTAGCACAGCGTATCTATTCAATCATTCTAGGGATATATTTTTTAACACCTACATACATGCCAGCTACTAAGGGAGATATAGAGACATACAAATTAAAAAGATCCTGCTCTTGGGTTCTCAAAGATTTTTTGAGAATGATTTATAAAGAGATAGTTATAACCTAATTACTAACCAAGGGACTTCTACTTCCTCAGACGGGCCAGATTTAAAACCAAAACAGAAGAGCAAGGGTGTCCACTGGACTCTGCTATACCCGAGGCAAAGACAGTTACTTTGCCCTGACATCAGAGCCTGTAGGAACGGACCCAGTGGTTTGGTTCTTCCAACTCCCCATGTTCATCCAGCTTCTTTTCTATGATGTATCAGATCCAATGGGAGGATAGGATTTTAAACTAAAACGCCTTGCTCCACTAAGTCAAATGCTACTTAGGGGTTCTGAGAGTTATATCATAACTGTGCCCAAAGTCTTCTTTATCATACAGATGAGGCATCGTTAGTTTAGGGAAGTCTTATTAAGATGTAACTGTGAAAAATTTCAGTTCTCTTCGTATCTCTTGTTTGCCTTCTCCTCGGCTTCCATAAGCCAGTAGGTGGCTTTAATACCCTGGCTTTGCATGTCCTCAATCTACCCAACTACAGTGGCCTCTATTGGCACTTATAATGTGCTGTCTTAGATATGACCACTAAAGATTACACCATCTGCAAGATTTTAAATACATCCTGCAAACACACCTTCTTATGCCCCACTATGAGTCTATATCATCCCAGGTGACTCCCTGTCACCGAATGATTATCCCTTCATTCATCTCTTCCAGTCTCCACCTTGCATCCCCAACTTGGGGTAGGCCAAGCGATCCCAAAGCCCAAATTCCACCCATTCTTCTGCAAAAGGAGACATGAGCTCCTCATTTGCTAATAAGATGTCTGAGTCCCCTTGGCTTTTTTTTTTTTTTCCCCACAGTGTCAAAATTCATCTCTGTCTTCTCCTTGGCTTTTTACTTATTTTCTTTCTCCCAGAAAGGTATGCCTGTCTTGTTGGCCATTGTCAATTCCCCATCTACTGTCATAATCTTCTTTCCTCAGGATAGTTCTCCCCCAGTTCCTCTGTCTTCAGTCTCTTCTTCATATCTCTCATCCTTGTCTGATCTACGAAAGTTTTCCCCTAACCTAAAACCTTCCCAAGCCCTTTTCCTCCCTGATAACGGACTCTTAGAACTTGTTTTTTTCCTCCTACTATTTGGAAACAAAATGGTGAAAACATCATGACATTGAAGCTTATGTAAGAGAGTCGGTGTAAGACAGCTCAACTGTACATGTTCCTCAAGTCTGCATGTCTCTTCATGTTAGAACAAGCTCTGGCTTTGGAACAGATGAGACGAGAGGAAGCTTCTCCCAGTCTCATATTTATGTAGATGTCGTTAGTTACATAAACAACTGCCCCTAGCTCTTACAGGCACAAGTTTTCACTGCATGTTTGGAACTGAAGAAACCAGATTCTAAGGACACAGAGAAGTTGCTTTATTTTGTTGTTGTTGTTGTTGGAGCAGCAAATTCTTGTCATCTGTCTTCATTGCACAATGAAGCTGAATGTTTATGACAGGCATGATATACAAAATTCTTACAAATAGTCACTTTTAACAAAGCCTTTGGGGGCCAGTATTTTGTTTTCCACCTCATCCTACAAGCTCTTCTTTCTGGCATCTTCATCCACTGTTATGATTTCCAGATCATCTTTCTCCTGTGATCAAAACTGTTCCATTACCCCTTCAGTTCCTTTCTCATCCTATGCTGTAATGGTTCAAAGGACATTGAGGAAGTATAGTCACATGGAGAGGAATGCTTCAACTCAAAAGTTGAAGGCACAGCTTAAAAATTAAAACTTAGAAATTTAAAAAAGTTACAGTCAAGTGGCTTACTGTGCTTTTTCCATCTCTTCATAGCACTGTAGAATATTATCAACAAGTCTAGATTCTGAGTAAACTTTATAAAGTCTTCCAGAATAAGGAACGTGTATCACAATGTTCAAAGTTACAAAATATCATTGAAGTATCATCATATTTTTTTAGGTTTACATGGCCAGAAGAGCCTCCTCTCTCCTGATGAAATCGTATGCTTTCTTTTATACTTCATAATATTGATTGATTACAGCTAAATTTATTGTAGAATTCTAGTGAATATATATGTACCCTAAAAAAGTTAATCAGCACAAAAATATGGTAGGTTAGGATATAGGTTTAAAAACTTTTTAGCAAGATGATTAGTAAGAGAAGGTAGGAGGAATTTGATGAGAATCCAGCTGCTTGGTTTTTGATCTGGTTATTTCGATGAGTAACTTTGGGGTATGAAATTACCTATAGGCCTCTGTGTGAGGCCTATGTTTGTACCTTCTCACTCAGATGCCAGAAATCATAAAGTATGAGTGATTGTACAATCATGAGTGTTAATTAAATAATACTATCTCTTTGCAAGGATGTCAACACATAGTTTCCAACTTAAGATACAATTATGTGAAGATAATTTTTATTAAAACATCTGTACTTTTTAAAATCAGCTACGATAAATGGTCAGCAACACTTTGAACTACTTAAGTACTAATGAAATAAGTTGATTTTTAATAACCTTGTTGAGCATGAAGTTTTATAGCAAGGCTCAAACTATGAGGCCATCAACTGAGACGGCAACATCTTCACTTTAAGTCAACACAATCATTCACCCTCAAAAAGAAAGGAAATTCTGACAAACTCTACAACATGGATGAACCTTGAAGACACTATGCTAAGTGAAATAAGCCAGTCACAAAAGCACAAATATTATATTATTTCACTTAAATGAGTATATACACCACATAAGTA